GGCGTATCGGGCAATCGTTGTTTCTTCTTCGCATTCGACGATCTTTCCACCTTCTTCCCTTCCTGTTGAAGCCTTCGCCATATCGTAGTTTTTGGAATGCGATACGTCATGGATGCCGCGGCTTGCGACATTCTGCCACCCTTGCAAGCAGCCACAGCCTCTTCCAATCGCGACTTCTTTAGTTCCTCGTTCTCAGATTTGCGTTTCTTCCAAAACGATAACGGCAATTTACCTTGATCTACCAGCCGTGCCTTTTCTCTAAACAATGTAGTCTTTGGTATCTAGGCATTATTAATATCTTAAGTTATATTCGGTTAACAAGTCGGTTAAATCTGTTTGTAATGAAATCAAAAAATTTCAAAATGTGATAATAAAATTGTAATGAAATTTACTTTAAATTGCAGAGCCACTTTCGTCAAATTTTCCCCTCTTTCTAAAGCTTTAACAGCGGCCTGTCTCGTGTCCAAACCATACGACCTCTTCATTTCAGGACGTAGGGTCTGATAGCCTTCCTTTTGTATACGCCTCCATAACACGGTTTTAGGTATTCTAAATATTTCTGACGCATGCTGCAAGCTCGAGCCATCTATAGTGAAATTAGCACAAGTTAAACGATTTAAATATAAATAAATAATTGTAGATACATGTCGCGTATAATCTAAATCTAAAAACATACATACAAACAAACATACATACAAACATACATACATACATACAAAAATAAACGAAGTATAAGAGAAAACACTAACTGATCACGGCATTTATAGCTGCATTCATGCACTCTGCGGGATATCCGTTTCTTGATGCGTTTAGATGTATGCCTAATGCTTTCGCCCGCATATACAACGTTGAACGTGGTATATTGTGCTTAGTAGCAGCCTCTATTAAAGTCTGTCCTAATTTCAAGTCATTAATCGCAGACGCCAACATGTCGTCGTTGTAATCTTTCTTCACAGTCTCGCGGCGACGTTTCTTCTTTTTATTTGATATACAATTTTCGGTAGTGCTCGCTTCGGGCGACTCATTCTCCAAGGATTCAGCATTGTCTCCAATTTTTTCTACCTCTGTCGCAGTCTCTTCCGCAGAATCCTTTCTGTTTTTAACAATTACGTTCTCTCCAATTCCATTTATCTGTCGAAGATACAAGCGACAATTATATAAATTTGTAAATATCAAATGTGTATGAAGTCTCACAACAAATTGAAACTTGATAGTCTATAACAGAAAATATAATTAACAGTGAACAATAAATTTGATACTAACGTTGATGAGACCGTTTATTTTTAACGATCGTCCAGCTTCAAGTAAACTATTGATATTTTCAACGGGAACACGGATCTCACCGTGATACATGAATTCGATAATTGATTTTATATCCTGAGGTGATATATCACTTAGAATAATCGTTGGACAATCTTCTGTCACTTGGCTGAGCACTTCCTATAAATTATATTATACATTAATCTCATATTAATTACTATACATATCAAGTGGCAATGTACATGGTTATTATTATTATGTGTTGTGCAAGCTAGAGTTACTTTGTGAATAAACATGCGTTATTATTACTCTGGCAATACAGTTTATACAATAGCGTAATAAAGTAATTAAAAACAAATTTTCAAGAGAATATTGCTCCAGCAAAGAGCAGTCGTTATCGCCACTACTAAACACAATATGCAACTGTATTTCTAATCATCTAATCTAATCGTGAGATCTCCCCAAGTTGGTGGAACTACTCTGTACGTGTAACAAAGTTCCTGGAGGCAAAGCTGTTTACTTGAAACAAAATGCTACACGCGCACAGTACAATGCGATGCGCGTGAATACGTTGACCGGCTGCGGACAGAGTGACATCCACCATGCAGTCCTCCTTCAAGAGCTGCCGCACGACGTCGGACAGATGATTCTGATGGTTGTTCCATTTAAAGCGATAACTCTGATTGACTTTACATTGGCCAGCGTCGGTCATGCTGCCTCGGTTTTATCTCCTTTCCACTCTTTTCGAGACGTACATTCGAGGCGAATGATATTCAGAAATGCGGGACTGTATTGTCGAGCTTGAGTATTGTTAATTCTCTTCTAAAACAAGCCGTGCATCGCTATCAAATCTGAAATCTGACTAGGTTGTAGCAGAACAAATCTGACTGATGAGCCAGAACAGAGAATACTCGGAGGACGGAGTGAAGTCTCATGTCCCATGGAGCCAGCATGCCCAGCATACGACGCACGTATACCGATGTATGGCGTAAAGAAACTTGGCCAATGGCCGCGTTCAGCAGACACAACTGTTGAGTGTCGTCTTATCAACAATCTGCGTTGATTGGTTGGTTCTAAAAGTAAGAGCCAATCACGTTCGACTGCTACTGAGCGGTTTGGTCTGCTGAACGCGACCAATCACAGGCTTCGTTTTCATTGAGTCTGTTCGCGTTGCTTGCACTTTTTGCACTCAGCATCTTCGCTTTCTCTCTCTCCAACGGCCGAATATATATTTATCTCATTTCAAGTGCAAAAATGTTTGGGGATTTCAAGCAACGCGAACAAACCTATTATGCCCTGTGTCCACGATGCAAGAACTTGGTCCAAGTTTCGGTTTAAGCCAATCAACTTGCAGCTCTTACAGAAAAGCAGCAGTTTCATTGGCTTAATGCCCGGTGTCCACGATGCAAGAACTTGGTCCAAGTTTTGGTTTAAGCCAATCAACTTGCAACTCTTACAGAAAAGCAGCAGTTTCATTGGCTTAA